ATTTTATTTTGGATTTCATTTATAATTGACATAAATACACATGTTATAAGTATGCACAATTACAATTATATAAAATTTATAATTTTATCAAATGATCACATGTTCATGAATGTTTTGCTGCAGTTCAAGTCATAAAAACTGATTTAAAATAGCACATTGCATATAAAGTGGTATAATATATATATAAATGAGGATGTTTGTTTGCTCACTATGCACATCTAGCTGTTTGACCAATGGCTACAAAACTGGACAGTTATGTTCAAATACTTCTAACTTAGATAATATCATACATCCCATCCCAAATTATCAATTGGATTTCTACATATTGATTGATTTATGTCTACATTTGATTGGTGGTTTTACATGTAGCACCATCTATTTAAAAAAATTTAATGAAATAATTAACTAAATATAATTATTACAAAAAGAAATTTTAAAAAATATATATACTGCATTATATTCATTAAATTGTTGCAACAATGATATAGTGTGAAATAGATGCACCATTGCACCATTACTGCAATGGGTAGCACACAGAACTTGCTTGCTTGGAGTGTAATAGTGTTTTCTCCTGTACATCATACTTTTTCTGTTAGCAATAGTGTCATGCCGGTTATGTATCTCACTCCGGAAAAAATTTTTGAATTGAAATAATGTGACTTGCGGTATGTTCATACATAGTTAACCTGTCTACGTTGTTCCCGAAAATATTCGTGTTGACCTCATTGACCTGCATGGGCAATCCCGAATATTTTCATGTTTACATTGGAACATTTTTGATACTAGATGTTGCTATGCGTCACAATTTTTATATTAAAACAAACTTTAAAAATATAATTTTTTTTGTTTCTATATTATTTGATATATTTATTTTGTTTGTGCAACAAAAAAATAATTTTTAATGATACAGTAAACACTGAATATTATTTAAAAAAAAATTTTTTTAGGTTTAACATCGACAAAATTCAACATGATGTCACAGGCAACAAATAAAAATTTCAACATTGAATAGGTTAATCTGGTCCTCTTTCTCTTATGACTTCCACGTCTACTCTCAACTTTTATCTATCTAAATCCATTCTTGAGATTAAGGAAGGACAAAGATGGACAATTGAATGACAGTGGGAATTTATAGGTCAACAATTTTTTCAAATTGCAGCTCAATATGTACCCTCCAGTAACTGAGTGGATAAAACCACCAAACATTGACAGTTGGTCTTGGGTTTGCACATAGCCAACAGACTGGCCACCTGCAGTTTTCTGGATTTTCTTTGTGTTAGTAACACTTAAATCAAATCTGTTTCCGGTATGCTTATGCCACAACTTTCAAAAGTTTCCTTTACTTAGCTGTTTTTGCTGAGCTTTAATTTTTTAAATCTGGTTTCACCAGTTTTTTTATGAGATTACATAAAAGCAATTATTTTCTTATTTTTACAAAATCTCATTATTTAATTAAACAAGTCTTATATCAAGTCTTTTGGACATTACGGTTAACAACTTTGATCACATGTGGGGCCATCACAACCTATCCAACATGGATCACTTGATCAATAGACCAGTACTAAGTAATAGTTGTTGATCATCTTCTCTCCCAGGAGGAGGATGACTACTACTTTTGGTTGAATTAACTTCAACCTCCATCTTCAGCAGTCCATTCTTCCTATCAGACCCACTTATATAGTGGCATTCGAATAGGAAAATTACATAATATGAGATTACCAGTCTGCACAAAATATGATTTTAATGGTTTTTGTGAGAGCTGAGTTTAAATATTTGGTCTGTTTATCATGACATTTAATTCGTTGGCAGATCATTTGATATGCAACTGTGAATGAAACAGTTTGTTAGTGCTTAGAAGGTATTAGAAAAAATACCTTATCTTAAATTTTTTAAGATATCATATTTTAAATTGGTGTCTACTTGACCAATGAAACTGTGTCATTTCGTACTATCTAAGTATTACGATAAACATAACAATGGTAGGCTAAAATAATCAAACGTTTTATATGGTTTTTGTGAGTGCCAGGATCTGATAAGCTCTTATAAACCTTTCTTTTTTATAAACTTTCATGTTCGTTTTAAAATAAAATGAAATAATGATTAATTATATGGAAAAAGGAATAAACTTTTTCCCAACATTTAATAAAAGTCTGGAAGGATACGATTGTATCTTTTCCAGGATTCACTTCCTTTCGGAGGTGACACAGCTTCCTAGTGTGTCACCCGGAATCTATGACCAAAATTCAACTATTGGACGATTGTAGAAAAGCCATGGAAATAAGGCCATGGAAAAACCACCAGGACAGACCCCCTAATAAAAAGGAGGGGTCGATGAGTCGAAGAAGGTCATCCAGTTGTTTTTCTGAACTATGTGTGTGTGTGACCAGTCACTCGTCATCGCTGTCACCATCGCTGATTCTAGCTGATACCGTCACCACTCCTGAGCATCTATCTCCATTCATCAAAAGAACCTGCTAATCCAGAGGACAGTGACTCCGTCAATTTAGAAAGTTCTGTATTTCAATCTCTATGAACTTTAAATGTATTTATCCTTGCGCAAACTTAACGTGAACTCTCTTTCTCTCTCTCTTTGCCAAGGTTGTAGTAGTTACGCTATATATCCAAATATTAGCATTTGCTAAGCTTCTGCATAATGATATATGTCTTGCTATAATTTTGATTAATAAATGGGTAGTTTTGTTATATGATAACTTGTAAAGTGCACTTCTTTGGCCCAATCAGTCTCCATCCCAAGTCCAACTGTCCACAGATGCGACTGCTCACACATAAAAAGCAAATGTAACAGTCTCTGTGTGTCTACCCAGAAGACACAGTGGTGTCAGTCATGGCGAATTAGTCATTGCAGTCTTTGCCAACGTGATGACTCTTGTTCGACCCTTCAGTCCTGTGGTGCCAAAGCATAGGGGGGCACTTGGTGTGATAAACCCTTACATAAGATAACTTTGTCAGTATATAAATCAAATACTACAATATAATATAGTAGAAGGATTAAAGTACAAAATAATCTAATAATCTTAATGTTTGTACTTATTTAATTACCTGCTAGTGTATAAATATATAATGATTGTAATTGATGGATTTAGACTAATAATTAACAGAGCATACAAGTGAACTAAACTTTTATTAATACTTTGACCAGAAACCATCATTATTTACTACTAACATAGGAATTCACAACATGGTCCTTACAGATTTCAGTAATACTGTTTGTGTGAATATATCTTGGTATAAACCTTTATTGAGCAAAGAAAAAATTGCACTTCTCAAACATTTTTAAGAAAATTAAAGTAAAAAACATCCTGAGCAACTTACAAATAAGTTTTATGGAACCTTTTGTTGAAGACCATGTGGCTTGGTAGCAAAGTTCCTTACTCCAAAAGTTATTTGTGAGATCACTGGTTTATGTCTCACAAAGTTGATTTTTTCAAATAAATACACTGTTTACATAAAATAATTGTAAATCACATGGTTTTATACATTTTATCTAATTATTTTCTATAAAAATGTGTTTTTTCTTCCTTGTAAATTTGTTTTTGGTTAAAAAAATTTAATTAAAATGTTTTACATTTCGAAATATAAAAATATTACAAATGATTTAACTTTTTAAGCAATTAAGTAAATTCAAAGAATTATTAATCATGACTAACTCCCTATATCACATTGAAATGTATGACACAAAACAACCATCTTTCAACATCACTTCTTTAGTTTCTTAGGGAATATACTTATGATATAAATAATTTTTCATAATTAATAAAACAAAAAAACAGTAAAAATAAAGTTATAATTTAAGAATAATGAATTAATAAACTATAAAATAATCATCTATTAATTTATAATAAATTATCCTGTTTTTAATTACATAATTATATTTAATTATTTTAAAAATAAACCTTAAATTTATTTTAAACAATTCCAAAAATGAATTTTAGAGGAAGGTAAAGTGCCAATTTTAATAGAAAATAAATATACAAAATAATTTACCCATACAATATATAATAACTTTATGTAAATCTGCACTGATTTGAAAAAACCTCACTAATTAATATGCAAATCAACAATCTCACAATTCTGTCAGTCATAATGTCATCAAGCCATGGTATCTTCATCAAAAGATTCCACAAAACTTACATATAAGTCACTTGGGATTTTTTAACTTTGATTTTCTTAAAAACATTTGAGAAGCAGACTTTGCTCAAAAAAGGTTAGTACCAAGACTTACATTCACAAATAGTATTATGAAAATCTACAATGATTCCATTGTGATTTCCCCTTAGTAATGATACCAATGAACTACTTATGCTTTCTTAATACTTTCTGGTAAGTATTATTTTATTACAGAAAAATAAAAATAATATTAATCATAACAAACCAGAAAATATAAATACAGTATAAAAATTAGTTGAATTTGGCTAAAACATTTTCAAACAGAAAATCTTTTAGTGTCTCTGACAAGAATTTTTATCCTCGTTTCTATGAAAATGATAGTTTGGTGATCTCCAATACATTTGGTGCTTGATAGTATCAAATTATAAGCAGTGTGGAAAAACCACCTTCCACCAACCTAAACATACTTTTGAGTGGAGCTAAACATTTCTATTGTTAAATCAATGCTTTGAAAAAATTGTGGTATATCCTGATTTCAGCATATTTTTAAGTTTTCAATTTATTTTTTGTTTTTCAAATTATAAAATTAATTTTATTTTAAAAATGAAAGATATTTTTTTACAAACTTCAAAAGTAATTTTGAATGATTTTGTAAAAATGTTATTTCTATAACTTCAAAAATAATTTAAGTTGCATAATGAGAAAAATATCAAAGCAAGAAAAGAGCAACACTTATCATAACTATTTAATTTGTAGATAGATAAATATGAAATTTAGAAAAAACATTTATGTATTTTGTTTAATAAAAAATTGCAAAGTGTAATTTGTTAATAATATATTTTAAATCTTATACATATTGAAATAATATTCACCTGAATTCTCATTGCTATGTCAGGATGATGTAAACATTCCATAACAATTTCTTGATGTTCATTAGCAAAATGAGGATGAACTTTTTTTGCCACATGTGCAAGTGCTTTTATTCCTAAATTAACAGATTTAATTTAAAAATAAACACATTGTTTACAACAAATAATATATATATAAAGTTATAAAAAGAACTCCAATTATCTGAATGCTGATCATCCAAACCTCCATTATCCAGATTGGACCATCTCTTTCCCCAGACAATTGCTCACCCATAAACAAAGCATAGGTAAAGAAATGTTTTGCCTTTAGATGTTTAGAAGAAATCAGAGATGCATAACACAAACAAAGTGAGGAATATATAAAAAACCAACAATGCTGAGTAGAGAGACTTTCAACAGACCTTAGTAAAACAACAACAAGACTATGATGGCAGAGGAAACACTTGGAGATCATAGAAGAAGCAAAGTGCACCTTCAAGAACTTTTACTGAGATGTTGTGTACTGTTTTTATGCACTTTTTGTGGACATTATATCAGTTGCTTTTTGAAAATATCCACATGTCATTGTCATCTTAAAAGAAGTATAATGTGATGATAATGATAGAATCAAAATTAAAGATCATCAACCATTTAGACAAAAAAAAAAATTGGAGTTTCTTTAACCAGAAGTTTTAATGTAGGAAAGGAATCATCATCAGATATAAAAGCTGACTGACAAGCCACCTTAGAGTTTGTTGCCAGACTTGTATTTGAAGATGAATCTAAAAAAAAAGAAAAATAATGAAAGATGCAAATGATGTGACACATGACCATGCACTTCATAGTTCCTTCAAAGAAGAAACCAATATCAGGCCCTTTGTTATGTGAAAAAGTACTATACTCAAACAATCACTGGGAGCTTGTCTGATTTCAAAGTCAACAACAGTTGGCTAAGAAACTTAAATTCACAACAAGGTTTCAAGAAATTTTACCTTGAAGAAGAATCATTGTCCAGTAACACCATAATTGCCAATAAAATCAAGAAAAGCAAAGGCTATTATTCCAAAGGTGATGTCTACAACAGATGAAATGGAGATAAATTGGAAAGTGCTGCTCCAACAGTCACTGGATTCATGACAGGAATCTTCAGTTCCAGGCTATGAAGTTAGCAAAAAGCAAATCATAGCATTGGTTTGTGCAAACACCATTGGTACTCATGCATTACCATTGCTAATGATTGGAGACTAAAAACTCCCATTGCTTCAAAAATATTGCTTCTGTACCTATCATTTACAAAGCAGAAAAAAAAATGCATAAATGAACTCTGAACTTTTTTCTGAATGGTATACTAAATATTTTATGTTAAGTGTTAAAAAGCATTATGTAATGAAGGCAAAGAGGGAGGGGGAAACAGGGCATTGTTACTGCTATTCTACAATGCACTATGTCATTCATCAGCCAACATATTAAATAGAATTGTCAATGACTTTTACTTGATGTATCTTCCACCAAATGTCAGTGTTAGTTCAACCAAAAAATCAACAAACACAACAGGATATACAGGTAACAAATTCTATGTTGTTTACTCTTGGCAGAAAGTTGTTTCTTTTTATAAAAATCCAACAACGAGTTGCATAACTTTACCAGCTGTTATGAGATTTTTATCATAAAATGCTTTTTATATTATTTATGATTATAAAATGGCAAAATGCTTAATCTTGAGTGTAGAGATGAGTTTTATAAAAAAAATTGTAAATGTTAATAATGAGTAAGATCTCTATTGAGATATGACTTGTGACTCTCCTCTATCGCCTCACCCTCTCAACCTTTAACCATCAAAATTTAATAGCATAAATGCCCCTTATACACAAGCTACTATGCCAAATTTTGTTTCTTTATCATTACCTTATCCTGAGATATTAAATGAAATAAATGCCAATGCGCACACATAATTTTTTCCATTTCTTGACATTTTTGGTTTCAGGTCTCAAAACATGATTTTCAAAAAACTCAAAGGGTCAAATTTAACATGATTCCAATACTTTGCCTTGTTATGTAGACATAACAGCTGGAAAAGTAAAAGCATCTGAAAGATTACTACTACATGTTAGCTGAAGCTTGGAAGTCTTTGATGACAGATAATCTAAAAAAGAATAGAATAAATTCTACTCAGATCTGAAAAACTCAACAAAGTGCTCAGAGCCTCCAATATCTGGGCAAATTATTAATGACAATTTTCAACTCTTAACTGACAATGAGATCGTGCATATGTGAGCAAAACTAGTGAACCTATTGAAAATGAAACAGATGAAGGAAGAACAAAACAAAACACATCTCATGCATGCTGAGGCATTTGCTGTGTTAAACATAGCAATGTTGTGGTTTAAACATCAATCAAAGTCTTCTACTCAGCTGCTTCTCCTGAAATGGATCGGGGATCCAACAGCAAAAAAATGAAGTTTTACTTTGTGTGAAGGAAAATAAATGATTATTTCTTTCAATAAAAGTAAAATATTTCTCCATAACACTTATTTGCAACCCCTTAAGCCTATAACCCAAGATATCTTGGGCAAGTTACATAGCGTTACATAAAATGCGGTCCTTAAGGCCATTTTTGAAATTTTTTTTTTTATTTTTGGAATGTTTTTTAAGTCTCCAAATTTTTAAAACATTTTTTCCCGCATGAAAAAATTTTATCACGATTTTAATTTACCTTAATGATGCACGCTTCACGCTTAATTGCTTTTTAATAGTTTTTTAATGGGAGTTTGATATCAAATTTCATTCAATGTTCTAAAGTTGTAGTGCACGAATTTTCCTTCGGTAAAGTTATTTAAAGCTGGTTTCTGATGTCAAAAATGACCTCTGATAGTTTTTTAATTTTTTTAATTAATAGATAAGTTTAATTAAGTCGGGTGGGTCGGAAATCACAATAAAAATTTTAATTTTTTAAAAATATTTAAAAATATATGGCCAACTAGTATTCACCCTACTATAAACCCATCGCCTCCCGAGACTTCTGAGAATGTCCCGGGAAATACGATACCAGCTGTTCTCAAGGTCATCCAGATGTGTAAACAATGACTCATCAGTGTCAAATTTCACAGAAAGAGATACAAAGGATAATAAAATTTGAAGCTTTTTCTTCAAAATTAACGCATTTCTTTCATTTTTTTCAGTTTTAAGTATTTTTAAGTATTTTTTATGTTTAATTACATTAATATGAAAAATGTCTATGTACACAACAGGTTAATTTGTAAAGTTTACTTTTTAAACTACATAAAAACTTTAAAACAAAATGACTTTTTATGTATTTCACAAGGAAAGAAACAGTAAAAAAATTTCCTTTACTTTGAAACTTGCTATCAAACTACATTGTTGGATTTATATTATTAACAGATCAAATCCCAGTTTTTGAAGTTTCAAGTTAAGTAGTCTTTAGATCACTGAATTTCAAGCAATCTTTAAAGAGAAATGTCTAGAGTTAAGAGTAAACAATAATCCTAACCATAACCTGAATAAATCACTGTTATGATAATTTAAATACATGTTCAATTTAAAACTATTACACTGAATTATTAGATCAAAAATATTCAAAATTGGGATTTGGTGTATTTATAATACATATTTTTTGCTTTTTTAAATTATATAAAGAAAAATTCCACAGAAAAAAATGTATATGACTTACCCATATATTTTAAATTAACTCTCTTTGATTTCAATAACTTTGCAACAGATGTTAAAGCTAACTGAAATATTTCTTCATTGTCATGATGGAGATTAATAATTGTTTCAATGCATTCAAAAATGATTGCTAAAATGGATTAATAAAAATGACTTCAAAATAATAAACAACAACATAACATCAACTAATTTAAATATTTATGATAAATGCTAATTTATCATTTGTGTATTACTTTAAGATATTTTCTAAAATATTTATTAAACATTCATTTTTTATATAAAATTCAAGTAGAACAAAAAATATTTGATGGTGATGTCACCTGTAAAGGATTTGGATTTGGAATAAATTACAGGAAGTCAATGTATTACTTGTTTTCAGGAACAAATTCCCATTAGATGTCAAGGCCCCTCTATATTTAAATTAAATATAATAATAATCAAACTGTTAAGTTTTGACTATTTTTTTTAAATAATTTGGAAATTACCTACAAATTTCAAATTTCTGACTTTTAGCAAGATTAAACCTGCAATTCTTGTTAACTGACAAATATATACAGTCTGTCTGGAAAGTCCAGGATTGATGTTTTTATCAGAGAGACAAGTAGTGCCATCTACCTGACTACTGTGTAATCTTTAGTTAAAACTTTCATATTTAGACAATTTATTTCAGAATGCTTTTGTCAGTCTTTTTTCTATACTGTGTTTGTAAAATTAATATGCTCTTTTCTTGTCAAAAAAATGCCTGCCATGAGTTCAGTGAATGGCAGAAGCAGAAAATTCTTTCTTTCAAAAATTCATTACTAGCAACAAATCCTGGTGCTACCAATATGAACCTACAACAAAAAAGCAAAGTTCAAAATAAACTTACCATAGCTTATATTTTGGTTAACTTCTGCTCGTTGCAAAGTTTCTTTAACAACTGGATATATTTTAATACCTTTCCTAAATGTAAACAAATAAATTCATAATTATCAATAATAAAATGATCAAAATTAACAAATCTCATATCACAGCATTTACAATATACTGTATTTAAATAAATACAAAATAATCATATTGTAATCATAATTACTTTACATTTATCCGAATAAATTTTTCTGTTTAAGATATGCTTTTATAATGAATCTTCATGTAATTAATTAAATATATCATTAATTGTATATGTACATAAATTTTAGAAAATGTTTATATCCTAGTTATGCAAATATTAAAATTATTCAAAAATATTTATAATACATTTGAAAACAACATACAGTGGGTGATCGGTTAACGAACATAATCCGTTCCAAGACTTTGTTTGCTATCCGAATTGTTCATTAACCGATTATCGATTTACCATATGCTTTAATGGGAATTTAATTAATTCGTTAACCCCAAAAAATAAAAAATATGTACTTTCTTATTACGTTTATTTAGACTATATGTAATAATAAAAATACATACATACACAATCTTGCATTTTTATTAGTTGTATTTTTTCCATTTGAAAGAGTTAAAGAATCTGTCTAATGTTGATTGCTTTTCTCTCTTCTTCAGGATTTTTCATAAGTAATTAATAGCATTGCAATTGTAGAGATCCCCAAGCCTCAACCTGGTTTGGATGCCATTCTAAGACCTTTGTTCTGACATCCTCTCACTTCTACAAAAAATCTTTAATAACAGATATCGGCATTAATCCTCTCTTTCAGAGGAAAACATATCTTGCCGAGTTTCTTGGTGTTCTTCATTCAAGAGTTCTTGGCGTTCTTTTGTCATCAGATCAGTTTCAGGTTCCATTATGAGCTCTTCAATGTTCTTTATTTCTCAGATATGAATTTTGTTACTCCTTAAACTGCTTGAGTCTTCTTCATTATACAGTATTTTTCTTAGATAAGATTGAACTGCGGCCTGTAGACCTGTTCACGCCATACTGCCCAGCAACATTAGGCATCTTCTGCCCATTCTCTACCTTTGCTATTATACTCTCACCTTTCGAAAAGAAAAACAGAAGCAAAACTTAATGAGTGCCTACCTGACAGTCTCGTGAATACATAAAATAATTGTTTTGTCAGAAAAATAAAAGGCTGGAATTACAAGGGAGACTTTCAAAGTTCGGAGGAATACTATCCGATTGGTATATACTGGCTTGAGCGTCGATGTCTCCCACACTCCAAAAAAGAAAGACCAATCGGTATTCATTATTTTACATTGCTTCTTCTTGTGTTGTTATGTGTTCGTTATCCAATCATGTGTTCATTGTCCAAACATAAAAATCTTTCGCGAAAGTGTTCGTTATCCGATCTGTTCGTTAACCGATCACCCACTGTATATTGAGTGATGATAATCTGAATAAAATTTTTTTATTTTTAAGATTCGATAACAACAATAAAAGTAAAAATTAACAATTATTAGTTAATTACTTTTAATTAACTGATTGCCAAAAATAAATTTTAAACTTTCTAAAATTTGTTATAGAACTGGAGATCACAACCATGCTGCTCTCTAAGTATTTGAATAAGCTGTCAAATTTAATCAATTTTTATATAAAAACTATAAATCTTATTATATGATAAAAATATACAAAGCAAATATTTAAAATTTATTAATTGTTTTGTCTAATGCTGTCATTATAGTTTAATTAATTTAACAATATTTTGTTAAACAATTAGTTATCTAGTTTTAACTAACATAATAAGTATACAGTAAACCTTCACTAATTCAGATCCACCAACTAAGACTTTGCATAACTGAAAAACAAATTTTTTGAAAAAAAATCACACAATAATTTAAAATTTATTCACAATAGAAAAATTCTAATTAACAAGAAATTATAATTAACAAATGCTTTTGATATTCAGAAGTCTTTTTCTACTATGCATTATATTACTGTAGTTGGTAAGTTACTAAAGATTGTAAATTGCTTTATATGTACTGTCCAGATATTTGAGCTCATTTTCTGTAATACAATGAAATTTCATTAACCCAGCATCCTTTATGCCAGCAAACTCAATAAGCCAGCATCATTGAGGGTTATTGGTGCACTGGGTGGGTCAAAAGTTAAGATTTTCATGTAAAAGGCAGTTCTTGGAAAGGGGTGTGGGTTCTCCTTTTAGGGATGACAAATACCAAGATGACACAAAGCTATGCTAGGAATAAAAAGCTACCTTGTGCACAATTTTTCTAAAGGCTTTTCCAAAGACATCATTATGTGGGTTTCATATGAGAAACAGAAATATTTAGCACACTTGCAATCAATAATTATCACTAAAACAGCTAGAGTACATTACTTCATGTATTTTGGTAATTAGAGTACTCTGTATTTATATGCAATAAAAGTGTACAAAGAACAGAGGAAGAAAAGCGTGTTCTTGTTTCAAGCTAACCAAGCATAAGAATAGCCTGGAAAAATTAAAATGTTGAGCTAAACAATCATAAAAGACAGATTTATGCAATTTTACATATAAAGTTGTGAGAGATAATTGGAAAAAAAACAGAAAAACTTCCACCAAATCTGATAACCTGGCCCTGTGTCAGTCCAGACAATGCTGAGTTAACAGAATGCCACTGTAATAAATTTAGCAGTAAATTTATCCTTATAGATCAGTAAAACTCTCTTTAGAACCAATCATAATAAATTACTGTACTATAAATCCACCTCATTTTTCATGTGATCAGAGAAAACATCCCATTTACTTGAACTTTCCTAAACTTGGGCAACCTTCATCTCCTATTAGTGTAAGTTAATAGGAATTTATTGTATTTTACACAAATTTCTAAAACACACTTGATCAATAAGAAAGTTAATTTGAAAGATATCTAAACATTAAATGAAAAAATTAGTTTTAAAGGCATTGAAATAATCCGGTTTTTTGAAGGATATTTTATAATTAATTACAAATTACAAATAAGATTGTCAATCTGCAGCAGATTGACCTGAATATTAGTTTTTATTTGAAAAAAGATTGTTTTAGCTTCCTAAAAATATTTTAGATTCATAAACAAAAAAATACCAAACAGATTGTTCTTTCTTGCATTAACATAGATCTGCAGAAAAGAAGTTTGATTAAAGTAGACTTCAGAAATTTCATAAACAGTAAACAACTACAGTCAGTGATATTTTTGATTAATAAACTTCAATAATTTAAATTTTTATTAAATATAAAGCCTACATCAATCATTTTATATATATATANTTCCCTCTAAATAATAGGGCAATATATGTTTATTTAAGTTTTAAATGGTCCTATACTTATGAATATTATTGGTGTCCATGTCCCTACTCATATTAGTCATAATTTATCTTCTTTACATTACCTTAATTTTAGAGCAAATGACTCATATTGTTTGTTCTTTTACCCTAGTATTACTAATATGAATAATTTTGTAAAAACACTATGTACCTGTGAAATGATGTATTTTTCTTACTTTTTAAATTTGTTTTGCAATTTTTATGGGGTTGTAATTTTTTTCTTTCTTGTTGCTTGGAGGTGATAATCCTGTGTTGCCAGAAACAACTATTACTTATGTAAAATTAAATAAATAAATAGTTTTTTGCAAGTTTCTGGTGTTTGATAGCATTGAATTCTTTGGTGATACCATATTTGTTTTTTACTTTCTTTGCTGCTTCTTTTATCTTTAGCTAAAAAAGTTAAAGTGAAATTAATTATGTACAGTACCATGCTTAGATATTGAAAAAATGTAAGTAAAATTCTACCATCTAGATTCAAATGTCATTAAACACAGGACAAGATTCAGCAGTTTATGGAATTTGATGCATGTTTTCTGTATTTTGAGTAATACAATGCCTTCTACAAACATACTAGAGTCTGTTTCAAAGAAGTTGGCTCCTGATATAACAAAAATACATGCCATTTTGCCTTGTGATTGATCTAATTTAAATAATATCAGGTGAACATGAACTGAGGTGAAACTGATTCTTCTAAATAACATAATTTCAAATAATTTTGTTTTAAAATATTGGAGAAAGGAAAATTTCCTGTAAATATAAATTTTATTTACCTGAAAAACTAAAGTTTCTTTAGAATTTAGTATAACTTTCAAAACAAATTTGTGTTGATTAGTTGAAGTATGATTTTGTGTAACAAAATCATACTTCATCTATAATAATAATTTTATAAATGAAAAACTTTAATTGTAAGTAAATAATAAAATCTATTATATAAAAAATAAATTTATTTCATAGAAAATGATGATGAAAACTAAACATTTTTAGAGCAGACAATCATTAGGTCTGTTTAGATAGAACATTAGGCAAAGCATATTCTATGTGTAAAATATTTAGTGGTTGTATCTCCATTTACTAAATCTATCTGAGCTCTTAGTGATAGTAAATTTTATCATTAATGGAATTATGTATACAGTTGTATATTTTAAAATAATTTTAGTACTTTTACTAAAATAACATATTATCTGATAAATTTATATCAGAATTATTTGAAGTTTATTTGATTTTTAGGAATGTATTTTGCAAGTATAATTTTGCATTCTCAGCAGATGTATTTTTATTACATTTAATATCTAAAGAAAGCATGATTATCCATATTTACTTATTGTAATCTCTGTATAATACTTTATTAAGAATATATATATATATATATATTCTTAATAAAGTATTATACAGAGATTACAATAAGTAAATATGGATAATCATGCTTTCTTTAGATATTAAATGTAATAAAAATACATCTGCTGAGAATGCAAAATTATACTTGCAAAATACATTCCTAAAAATCAAATAAACTTCAAATAATTCTGATATAAATTTATCAGATAATATGTTATTTTAGTAAAAGTACTAAAATTATTTTAAAATATACAACTGTATACATAATTCCATTAATGATAAAATTTACTATCACTAAGAGCTCAGATAGATTTAGTAAATGGAGATACAACCACTAAATATTTTACACATAGAATATGCTTTGCCTAATGTTCTATCTAAACAGACCTAATGATTGTCTGCTCTAAAAATGTTTAGTTTTCATCATCATTTTCTATGAAATAAATTTATTTTTTATATAATAGATTTTATTATTTACTTACAATTAAAGTTTTTCATTTATAAAATTATTATTATAGATGAAGTATGATTTTGTGAAACAAAATCATACTTCAACTAATCAACACAAATTTGTTTTGAAAGTTATACTAAATTCTAAAGAAACTTTAGTTTTTCAGGTAAATAAAATTTATATTTACAGGAAATTTTCCTTTCTCCAATATTTTAAAACAAAATTATTTGAAATTATGTTATTTAGAAGAATCAGTTTCACCTCAGTTCATGTTCACCTGATATTATTTAAATTAGATCAATCACAAGGCAAAATGGCATGTATTTTTGTTATATCAGGAGCCAACTTCTTTGAAACAGACTCTAGTATGTTTGTAGAAGGCATTGTATTACTCAAAATACAGAAAACATGCATCAAATTCCATAAACTGCTGAATCTTGTCCTGTGTTTAATGACATTTGAATCTAGATGGTAGAATTTTACTTACATTTTTTCAATATCTAAGCATGGTACTGTACATAATTAATTTCACTTTAACTTTTTTAGCTAAAGATAAAAGAAGCAGCAAAGAAAGTAAAAAACAAATATGGTATCACCAAAGAATTCAATGCTATCAAACACCAGAAACTTGCAAAAAACTATTTATTTATTTAATTTTACATAAGTAATAGTTGTTTCTGGCAACACAGGATTACCACCTCCAAGCAACAAGAAAGAAAAAAATTACAACCCCATAAAAATTGCAAAACAAATTTAAAAAGTAAGAAAAATACATCATTTCACAGGTACATAGTGTTTTTACAAAATTATTCATATTAGTAATACTAGGGTAAAAGAACAAACAATATGAGTCATTTGCTCTAAAATTAAGGTAATGTAAAGAAGATAAATTATGACTAATATGAGTAGGGACATGGACACCAATAATATTCATAAGTATAGGACCATTTAAAACTTAAATAAACATATATTGCCCTATTATTTAGAGGGAAAGCTAAGGTGCAATTGAATTGATAGATTTCTTGCAAGGTAAATTACTGTTTGTTAAACAAGAAGCACACTTTATTGAATACCTTAATAACTTTGTCTATAAGAATGTCAACAGGTGAATACAAAATAAAAATGCAATAATCAATTAATGGCTGGAAGTTTGTAAAAAATAAAGACCTTAAAACAGTCCTAGACAAAATGGATCCGCTGCCAAAAAATACCACATCTACTTGCAAGTAGTTTAATAATCTTATCTACATGGTCTTTGAATTTTAGCTTAGAATCAAAAATAACAAATTAAAATCTAAACTAGTGTAATTTACAAAAACATAACTCTTCTCAAACTGCACTTACTAAAAAAATAACTACCCTTTACTAACCTTTAACATGCAATCTATTTTATTAACGTTAGATTATGTTAATAACATAGACTGCATGTTAAAGGTTAGTAAAGGGTAGTTAAAAACATAACTAGAATTGTTTTGAAATTTTTCAAATTCCTCTGGAGTGTAAAATCATAAAAATATATAATATATTAAATTCAAAAACAATACAAAAAATAAATAAAAAAAATACAATATAACCAACTTAGAAATTAAACAAAATTAAAGACTTTATTTAATTTCTAATTAATTTTATGATTGATCAAGACAATACAACCATAACTGCAAAATATACTCTACCATATTCAGTATTATAAATCTAATAAAACTTTAGTTTTATAATTTGTATTCCCTTGATCAATTATAATTATTAATAATCTAACTCTACATAAAGTAACTTAAGGAAAGATTCCCCTGCCTCCATATCTACACCTTGGTTAACTGCTTTAATGTTGAAATTGCAGAAGTTACTACACTTAAATCTCCATCTGACAATGCTTTTTCTAGTTTAGGCACTGCTGCTGAACTAATATGCCAATTCTGTAACTGATTCAAACAATGTTGAAAGGCTAATACGGCAAACTTTCTTACTAAAGGGCTGAACAAATAAAATTAAATAAAAATAAGTTTAATCAAAGAGACCAATTTAATGTAAATTTATATATAAAATAAGTTTAAAAAAATTTTATTGTTTCTTAAAATAAATTTTGCTACATACTGTGAATGATTCAGTTTTTCTTCTATTAAATTTTGTACTGTAGGAACCATTTCATGATTGATTAGATGGCAAACAGTTATAAGAGCCATACATATTTCTGCAATATTTGAGCTTTTCAAATCCTAAAATGAGAATATAATTTTAACATATTTATAAAACTGATATTTATAACAATTAACTATTGCTGAATTTTTAAAATTAAATTTGTCAATAAAAATTAAATTTTATTTAAATATAATGTGATTTAATGCATTCAAAGCAACTAATAAAAAAAAAACTAATTACTCAGAAAATAAATAAACATTCATTTAGTCTCTGAGTTCGTCATAAATTTGAATAAAAATCAATTATTTTTGAAAAAAATTATATCTATTTTTGACTTTTTAAAAATTAATTTATTGGTCAAAACTAAAATTTTTGTCATTGTTATTTTATTAAATATTTCTATTTATTTTGCTACTCCAGTTATTATAAGATTTATTTAGCTAAAAATACACTCACTTTATTTTTAAAAAATAAAACAAATCATTGTTATTGAATTATCAACCACAAAAATTTAGTTAAAAACATCATGAAACATTTTAATAAATCCCACTTCTTCAAAACATCATAGTTTTGAAGAAGTGGGAAGATGTCAGAACAACAGTCATCCAATCTCAATCTGGTTTCGATGCCATTTGGATAATGGCATCCAAACCAGATTGAGGTTAATAGGCTTGGGGATCTCTAAAATGATAATGCTATTAATTACTTCCAAAAAATTCTGAAGAAGAGAGAAAAGCAATCAACATTGGACAGATTCTTTAACGTCCCACAAAAATGGAAAAAGATATGACTGATAAAAATGCAAAATTGTGTATGTATGCATGTATTATTATTATTACATATAAATAAACATAGTAAGAAAGTATATATTTTTTTATTTTTTGGGGTCTCCAGAACGAATTAATCAAATTCCCATAAAAACCTATGGTAAATCGATAATTGGTTAACGAACAGTTCAGATAATAAACACAGTCTTGGAATGAATTATGTTTGTTAACCAATCACCCACTGTATTTAAAAGAAAACACAATATATAATATCTTACACAATGGTTACAAGTTCTTGAATAAACTGTTTCATTCATGTATCTACAAAATACTGGTCAACAATGACCACAAAAACCTTAGTATTTCATATGTGGAATATACTTGCAGAAAAAGACTGGCAGAATATCAACAGAACATTAGAAAAAATATATATACAGTAGCACTATCCTGCTTTGTTATGCATGATGATACTTGTGTAATATAAGATGAAGACAATATTGTTATGCAAATTAAAAACTCCTCTATGAAACATGATACATGAAAGGCTCAAATTTTTCAAACAAAAACCAAAAAGCAATGCATTAACTATACAAAATCTTTGGAGAAGGCTTGGAAATATGCANTCATTGCAATGGACAGTTGACATTGTGTTCTGGAGGAAACAATTTGTATCACTCTTGCTACGGATATAATTTGTAATCTGGAATTTTTTGCATACCTTTTAATACATATTTAATTGCGGCTCGCAAAAAATTTCAAATTTTGAAAAATGGCTCGGACTATCAAGGAGCTTGGCAACCCCGGATCTATAGTAAACTGATAATTGGTTAACGAACAGTTCAGATAATAAACACAGTCTTGGAATGAATTATGTTTGTTAACCAATCACCCACTGTATTTAAAAGAAAACACAATACATAATATCTTACACAATGGTTACAAGTTCTTGAATAAACTGTTTCATTCATGTATCTACAAAATACTGGTCAACAATGACCACAAAAACCTTAGTATTTCATATGTGGAATATACTTGCAGAAAAAGACTGGCAGAATATCAACAGAACATTAGAAAAAATATATATACAGTAGCACTATCCTGCTTTGTTATGCATGATGATACTTGTGTAATATAAGATGAAGGCAATATTGTTATGCAAATTAAAAACTCCTCTATGAAACATGATACATGAAAGGCTCAAATTTTTCAAACAAAAACCAAAAAGCAATGCATTAACTATACAAAATCTTTGGAGAAGGCTTGGAAATATGCAGTTACCAATGTCTGAAATTACATTTTAATGTTTAACTGTTTTAGCTTTAATTCTATATTAATTTTTAATATTTGAAAGCATTGCATTTTTTTTTGAGAATTTAAATAGAGGTTATTTTGCAAAAACAACATGTCATATTACATACTGTTGAGAAAATTAAAAAAAACTGCTTCTATTAAATTGCAGACATCTTTTGTTTCCATTTGCAAAAACAGTGAGCTATTCTGAAGGTTTTGGTATATTGCCAGAATATTGTCTTTCACAGAATCCAAGCAAAATTAAATTTTTGCTGATATATACTGTTCTTCCCAAAAACTTTATTCCCACAGTTCTTTTTCCATGGAAAAGTTTGCATATGTCATTTCTGAGTCCTCATAGCAGAGACACCTGTATATTGGGATACTTGGGGAATGTGCCCCTGTTGTTGTCAGGTTGCCCTTTTCTTAAACCCCAAGGGAGATCTAAAATTTCATTTTATTTTTAAATTAGTTACTCATTTTATCACAGAAACTTTTTACTGATGATAAAATTAAAATAAAAATATTTGTTATTAACCAAAATTTGTTCTAGAGAGTTGTGACTATTCCTTCAGTCATGTACTGAGGTACCACCACTGTATTTGATTAATGCAATTTTATTATATGCAGTAGCATCGACAGATTAATTAACTACATTACTCAAGGGATACCTATAAACACATATATATATAGATATCCCTTTAAAAATACAGGTATTTTATATAAGGTATGTACAATGCCCTTTTCTATAGCTTGTGATCCCTTTTTTATAGTCTGCAGGTTCCAGTGCCTCATAGTCACTGCTGTTGTATTCCACTTCAATGTCCACATATTGTTTATCACCTGCAACACTTGACAAACTTTTATAGAACTTATTCTCTGCCTTCTGTAGGAAAGCTAACTACTTCAGGCAGTCCACAAGTTTTTTGTTTGGTATAGGTATTGGATCTTTGTAGGCTTATGGCAGTGTCAACTCATTGATCCACTTCCTATTGCTTCTAATCAGAATATTTTTGTTTGATCCAGAATATGTATCATGAATTTGAACAGCCTCTTCATCTTCAGTGATTTTTATAATATTGGCTGATTTGAGATTCAACTTTTACTCAATAAATGGGTAATGTTTGCATACCTGCAATCAGGAGCCATAACACATTTTCCTATTCCATTCTTTAGTGGTTTGTGTGGCTAATTCCATAAACTTTTGCTTCTAAAACAACATCTTCATTCCTCTTCTTTCTTGGCCACAAACAGCCACCAATATTGGACATCTTCAAATGATGTTGAGGTTACTGAGATCCAGAATACTTTTCAATGTAGTTGGCCATCTTGTAAGTTGACCTTTATCCAAAAAATAGCAGATGTCCCCTGACAATTACTATTTTTGTGAATAAATCTTGACATTACTTGCTGACATGTGTTGTTTTTGTAAAACTTCAAATTCTTTCATGTAGAATATCTCTGTTGACATTTGCTATTGTTGCATAATATTGCATGGGCAATATCATCATTAAAATTGCCAGATGAAATGAAAAAATTTTTTTTCCAAATTTTGACATACTTTTGCAAAAAAAAGGCCTCAATTGGTTTTTACATTCTATTTGTTGAATGTGTGTATTGTGGATAATAATATTGGATTATTATTCTTGTATTATTCCTGTATATTTTTAAATTGATTGATGGCTAGTAAAGCTAGCCAGAAACATTAGCATATTAAAGATTTTCACTGCTTAAAGGTATGTTTCCTATTAGAAATTCCAGTATGTTATAAAATGCATTTTTTGAAATATTAATGTATAAAATTATTTTTGTCTAATAGTAATGCTTTTATATTTGCTTTCATCCAAATGAAACATTAATACTAATCCTAAGTAACTCTTACACAAGACCTATAGATAGAAGAGACTATATTACCACATTTTTAACATTATCCAGTTATTTTACATTAAAAAGTTCAAATAAGATTTACAGTTTTTATTTCTATTATTTGATATAACAAA